TTTTTAATAACACTGTTCTGCTGTATTAAATTTTTATTTCCTTTAATATAATTTTTATGAATGCATATTCTTTTGGCAATTATCCCACTAGCGCGCCTCTGGCTCAGTATTTATCCGTCGTAACAATTGGACAAATCCCTTAAAACAGGGTGATACCTACCTGCTCTTTATGAACGACATAATTTTGCAATGCGGACTAGGGAAGTGACAGAATTTATTGACGGATCACCCTGTAGCGCTTTTGAATACTTAATGAGATTTTATTACTCTACACTCTTTTGAAATAGACTATAAAAATATCAAATGTGATAAACCCTTGGATTGTGAATTCATCGCTCTATCAATATCTGTAATAAAAAAAGACAGGTCCGTATTAAAAAAAGAAAGTTGATGGTGGCCATGTTGACACGAAACGTTTTATCGAAAATTTATTATCACATTGTCATGGTAAACTTCGAATACAAAAACATTTTTGTTTTCCATTATATGATATTCTCCGAAATAACAATTCCATTCGAAAAAATCGAAAAACAGCAGTTTTGTTTTTCCCCGTATATCTCGAGAAAGGTGAGAGTCCCCGTAAATTTTCTTCGACCATTGTATTGTTACCGGTGACAGTTACATTTTTCCCATTTAATCGTCTTTGTATCTGTTACGGTTTAGAATACAGCAATGTTACCACATGATAAAAGAAACGGCTTGTAGATATGGCAACTAGAAGTAATCTGAAAAAGCAGGAAAGGCCCCTGCAAAATCTTTATGGAATTTGGGGGTCGATGGATTTTTTTTAAATTGTTGATATGATGTAGTCCATGTAATTCTCAACCAACCTTATCATTTCGCCAACCCCAAAAAATGAACAGTTTTGCCGCTAGGGTCCATTAAAATCACCCCTTTCTCAGAAAAGAATATTGATTTTCGAAACCAGGAACGACATTTTCACCTATTTCATTGTAAATGATGTTGCATATGATTATGCTCTTTGATAAAAAATATTCTTCACCCCCTTCTTTCCCCACCACCTATTATGAAATGCAGAAAAATGATATCTGGATTACTTTGGAATGCATAGTCGGATATTTGGATATGCTTGAATTAGGCAAATAGCACTTTTCATATGATTATTTCCCCTTTTTCCGAGGGGTACCTACAAAACAAAAAAATCAGTGGATTTTTCAGAATTTTCAATATGATGCAGTTCATGTTATTGTGAATAGAAATTGATTAGGTGATAACCCCGAACATGAATAGTTTTGTAGATTGGGGGCGTTAAAATCACCCCTTGCTCAGAATAGATGATTGATTTTCGAAAACAGGAATAACTTTTTCATCCGTTTCATTGTAGTTAATGTTGCATTTCACCCCCCCCCC